AACAGAGAACAGATAGTCTCTTCAATAAGTGGTGCTGGGAAAACTGGACAGCTACATGTAAAAGAATGAAATTAGAACACTCCCTAACACCATACACAAAAATAAACTCAAAATGGATTAGAGACCTAAATATAAGACTGGACACTATAAAACTCTTACAGGAAAACACAGGAAGAACACTCTTTGACATAAATCACAGCAAGATCTTTTTTGATTCACCTCCTGAAGTAATGGAAATAAAAACAAAAATAAACAAATGGGACCTAATGAAACTTAAAAGCTTTTGCACAGCAAAGGAAACCATAAAGAAGACGAACAGACAACCCTCAGAATGGGAGAAAATATTTGCAAACGAATCAACGGACAAAGGATTAATCTCCAAAATATATAAACAGCTCATGCAGCTCAATATTAAAAAAACAAACAACCCAATCCAAAAATGGGCAGAAGACCTAAACAGACATTTCTCCAAAGAAGACATACAGATGGCCAAGAAGCACATGAAAAGCTGCTCAACATCACTAATTATTAGAGAAATGCAAATCAAAACTACAATGAGGTATCTAATACCTCACACCAGTTAGAATGGGCATCATCAGAAAATGTACAAACAACAAATGCCGGAGAGGGTGTGGAGAAAAGGGATCCCTCTTGCACTGTTGGTGGGAATGTAAATTGATACAGCCACTATGGAGAACAGTATGGAGGTTCCGTAAAAAACTAAAAACAGAATTACCAGCAATCCCACTACTGGGCATATACGCAGAGAAAACCATAATTCAAAAAGACACATGCACCCCAATATTCATTGCAGCACTATTTACAATAGCCAGGTCATGGAAGCAACCTATATGCCCATCAACAGACGAATGGATAAAGAAGATGTGGTACATATATACAATGGAATATTACTCAGCCATAAAAAGGAATGAAATTGGGTCATTTGTAGAGACGTGGATGGATTTAGAGATTGTCATACAGAGTGAAGTTAGAAAGAGAAAAACAAATATCGTATATTAACACATATATGTGGAACCTAGAAAAATGGTACAGATGAACTGGTTTGCAGGGCAGAAACTGAGACACAGATGTAGAGAACAAACGTATGGACACCAAGGGGGGAAAGCAGCGGGGGTGGTGGTGGTGGTGGTGGTGTGATGAATTGGGAGATTCGGATTGACATGTATACACTGATATGTATACAATGGATGACTAATAAGAACCTGCTGTATAAAAAAATAAATTAAATAAAATTCAAAAAGACAAAACAAAACAAGGCTTTGAATACATTTCAGGGAAGAGAAAAGCACCAAAATAGGAAATATTCAACTCTGTCTAACTATTTGAAATGGTAATTATTTCACCTTCTAATTATGAAAATAAAGCACTATTTAAAAAAAATTAACTTAGAAATCTTAGTATATGTTGTGGTAATCAGAATGCAATGCAATGTGTTACTTTTATTGGCTCACAGACACTGCAACATCTGATAGAGAATTTGCCAAGAACAAAAATGAATTGAAATCCATCATAATTTAAAGACATTCCAAAAATCTTAGTGCAAAATCCAAGCCACATTTGTTTAATAAAAAAACAAAAAACAAGAAACAAAAAAGCAAAAAAACCCAAAAAACCAATTCAGTGGTTATGGAGGAAGTCCTCTCTGAAAGTAAGGCTCTATCATCATTATCTGTTAATCACAGAATATTAAAGTATTTTAAAAAATTCTTTTGACTTGAAGACAGTTTGTAAATATTAGGGCTTCTACTTCTATTTATTTTATCTCAGCCTTTCAAAATTTATTTTGTATGTGTTTTATAATGCATATATAAAACACTCCCATAAAAGTTTAGAGGCTATTGTCCTAAGCACTGGGTGATTTCTGAGTACTCTGCCACTAGAAAGTAAGCCCCATGAGGGCAAGGACTTTTGTTCACCAATGAAACCCAGGTGTACTGGAACACCGTGGGGACCCAAAACTGCTGAATAAATTTGCTTGGCAAATCCATCACCTCAAAATGGTAGAGGGCAAGGTACTTGCTCAACAGCAAATATCACTGAGCAAGGATCCACTGAAGACACAGTGAGCAACTAAGACAGAGAGAATGGCCTTTGTCTCCAATTTTGGCAGAACTCCAGCAATATTGCTATCATCAGCAAATGGTTTATTTCCCAAACTAAACTTATTTATTTGTCTTATTTTCCATGCAGTTTACTTCTGCGTGTCAGAATGATTGTTTTAGACACTGGCATTGGAACCAAAGGGTCTTTAGTATGCTTTGTATGTCTCCCCCTTGTTTTAAACATTTATACGTACTACCTTCAAAAGTACATCAGTTTTGGGGCATGAACAAGAACAAACTACTGTCAACTGCAACAAAGAAGCCTTGCTACTTCACAGATATAAAGAAAAGAATCCAGGAGGCCAATCTATACTTCAGAAAAATTTTATCACACCCTTAGATGTCATGACACCATGGCTAGCAACTGCTGAAACAGAGAAAGGACACTATTTCCCCATGAGGCGATGTTGTTGGTAGGTTTTTGTTAAAAGCATCAAAGGCATGGCCAAAATCTACTTTCTTATACGTAACAGTAATATACTGTTTTCTTTGCTTTCCCAATATCAACTCTTCAAAACTGTTCAGAAAATAATTTAGATTTATATGACTATTAATAAAAAATTGATTCAAATGTCAATATGAGAAACCCACCAAATTCTTTTCTGGTATTTTGGTAATTCAGGCAATCTGAGGAATAGACAAGAGAAAAATGGTACAGCCTAATAGTTAATTTTCACTAATAATAATTTCCTTAAAAAAAAAAAAGATCATGGCAAGGGACTTCCCTGGTGGCACAGTGGTTAAGAATCCACCTGCCAACGCAGGGAACATGGGTTCAAGCCCTCGTCTGGGAAGATCCCACATGCCGCAGAGCAACTAAGCCTGTGAGCCACAACTAGTGAGCCTGTGCTCTAGAGCCCACGAGCCACAACTACTGAAGCCTACGCACCTAGAGCTCATGCTCCACAACAATAGAAGCCACTGCAATGAGAAGCCTGCGCACCTCAACAAAGAGTAGCCCCCGCTCTCTGCAACTAGAGAAAGCCTGCACGCAGCAATGAAGACCCAACACAGCCATAAATGAATGAATGAATGATCATGGCAAAATTATATAGTCCAAATGCATACTATAACAAAAAAAGCCAAGCAGTGAAAATCTACTGTCCAAATATTAATGTTTCCAACAATTATCTCCTCTCCCTTGTCCTCAGTTTTCTCACCAGCAAATATACTGTAATAGCATTATCTTAAGAAACATTCTCTTTCAGTCAAACAGGTTATTTCTCTGTTCTCCTTTACAGAAATACTCTTTGAAAGTGTTATCTATGATGGTTCCCTCAATTCTTTCCGTTCCATTCTCTCCTGAACCTGATCCAATCAGAATTTCACTCTTCTACCTCTAACAAAACTGCTTACAAAGGTCTCAAGCAACCCTAGCCCCACGAAATCCTATGGTCAATTCTTAGTCTTCACCTAACTTGACCCATCTGCAGCATCTAACAGAGATGATCATTCCCTCCTTTCTGAAACATTTTCTTCACTTGCCTTCCACATACCACACTCTCTTGGTTTTCCTTCTGCTTCATTGGTCACTCCTTCCCAGTTTCTTATCTTTCACATCTCCAAAGACTTGGAATAAAAAAATGTATCAAGGCTGAATTACAACTGAGTTCCCCACCATTCCCTATTCCCTTCCTCTGCTGCATTTTTCTCCCCAGAACTTAACACTACAGAACATACCATATACTTCATTTTTTTTTTTTTTTTTGCGATACGCGGGCCTCTCACTGCTGTGGCCTCTCCCGTTGCGGAGCACAGGCTCTGGACGTGCAGGCTCAGAGGCCATGGCTCACGGGCCCAGCTGCTCCGCGGCATGTGGGATCTTCCCGGACCGGGGCACGAACCCGTGTCCCCTGCATCGGCAGGTGGACTCTCAACCACTGCGCCACGAGGGAAGCCCCCATATACTTCATTTTATTGCTTTATTTTCTGTCTCTACCCATTAGATTATTTCATGAGGGTAAGAATTTTTGTCTGTTTTGTTTAGTGTTGTATTCTCAGTGCATAGAACAGATCTAGCTTATTGTAGGAACTCAAAAAAAGATTTGTTGAATGAGTGAATTAATAAAAATAAAAGTGTAAACAGCAAGGGTCATCTTATACTAGTAACTTAGCAGCCAGATACCCCAATAAGCAAATTATATACATTTCAGTTAATCCTGAAACAACCCTATGAGATCTCTGAGGCAGGGTGGGGTGGGGTGGGGTGTTAACATGTCCCAAACACAAACTACTAAGTGGCAGTGCCATGATTCAAACCCAAGTCTGTCCTCTTCAAAGTTAATGCTCTTAATCACTGCATGGTATTATTTTCACTGGAGTACTATTTCGTTGGTTTTGAACTAAATCCAACCCTGCTATTTGAAGAGTCAGCAATCAAGTTTCCTATAGTTGTAAAATAATCTCCATTTTGTCTGTGAAGACAAACATTCGGTTAGTATCATCAACTTAGAAATTTTAATGGAGATTCTTATTTAAAAGGAAAGCATTCCACATTGCCATTTTCAGCGATAACAGTATAAGTGAGAAGACACATTGCTCTCCTTCAGTGTTGATGGCAGAACTTCCAACTTGCTCTCTCCCATTTCTATTAAAATCTCAAGCCAATGGTTTCCAAACCTGGCTGAAGAGTCACCTAGGAGCTTTTTGTTTTCTGAAAACAAGATTCCCAGGCCCAACTCCAGAGCAACGAAACCAGAATCTCTAGGAAACAGAGCTCAGGAACCTAGTATTTTTTAAAGCTCTGCAGGAAGCCTTGGTGGTTAGCCAAGTTTGGAAAACACTGGTTAAAAGAACCAAAGCTGGCAAGAAACTAGTACCCTCTATCTGAGCATCTGGCTCACTGTTTAACAGTGACCAAGTCTCACTGGTACTGACCTTCTTGGAAAGAGGCACGATGCTGTTGGGCCGAACAAGCCTCCGTTTCTTACAGCTCAGCACAGGACGTGTTCGGGCTGCCACACAGGTGCCATCAGTTGATGAAGAAACTAGATTCAGTCTTTGCTTTTTATGCAATTGTTCCTCAGCATCAGAGTTGTCACCTGGTATGTGGTCTGCCAAGACAGGCTGAAGACTACACAAGGGGAAGGAAGAATATTCACTTCTCATAAGACATAAGGAAACAAAGCCTTTAATACTTGTTCAACCACCTCTACTTGCAAATGTTCACAGACACAAACATGTGTTCTAGAGCACACAGAGGTCACCTCTTGATGCTGATGTCTGTTAATCTAAGTGGCTATGCAGTATCTGTGCTTATTTTTAAGGTGCTCTTGGTGGACGTTACTCTACCATGTCTGAAAAATGTAAAAGTCAGTAAGTGAACTCAGGTTCTACTGATTAAGTTCTCTTCTACAACAAAAACATGAATTCTTAAAAGTCTAGAAAATTGCAACTGGTAAGAATATTTTTAATATATATTGAGAATCAGTTCTCCTATGAAACTTGCCTATTAGGGATGTGTACTCATTGTTCACTTGCAGAAGGATTCCTCGATCTTTTATAAATGCAGATTTACAGCCTTTAGGGATCTAATCTGTTCTACAGCAGAGGATTTTATGTAAATATTTCTGAGGAGTTCTACCAAGACAGGACCAATCGCAACGATTCATAATAACTTTAGGACTTTAATTTTTCTCCATGCTGAGTCGATTTTAGGCCGCAGTAAGTAACAGGAAAATACATTAGGAGGCTACTTAAAATATACTTGCTACAGTAGGAGGCATGCACAATATTATGAAGTGATAAGGTTTCTGCTTCTTTAAACCAGGGTTACTCCTGGCTAGGGATAACTAAGAGTCTCAAACCCATCTTTAACAAGCCTGCTGAGTATAAGAAGTATGCAGAAGAGATAAAACTTACGTATTAATAACTCCATTGACAGGTCTCAATGCTCCACATGGTTTAGTAGACAATGACTCTGAAGGATGACCAGAGGCACCATGATTTTCCAGTGGTTGAGAAACAGACTCAATCTTAATGAGAAGAAAAATGAAAATATATTATCAATATTTAACCAACAGCACCAGCCTGAAAAGCAGCACCATTTCATTTTAATGAAACACCTAAAATTTCTGATGACCAACTTGAAAAAAACCTCATTTATGGAACACATTTAAGTGTTTCTTGGATTTGTGTTTCCTGGGCTGCAGTCCTCACAAATCCCAAATAAATGCATTTTTTGGCCTTAAAAAAACCAAAACCAAAAAAACCCAAAACACCAAAACCAAAAAAACCCAAAAAACCAAAATCACTCGTATGATTGAGGAAAAAAAAATAATTAAGAGAATCAGCTTTTGAGATTTTGCTTTGGCAAAATTTGGAGAATTTGCTTTGGAGGGAAGGGTTAGGAATTAAGATATTTAACAGACCCAAAGTAGTAAAGTGCCTACTGACAGGGAAATGACCTAATGACTCCATGGAACAGAAGCACAGCAAAACATTATATAGTACCAAGAGTCAAGTTTTCAACCTAAGGGTCAAGGGTACATAAGTTCAGTAGGAAGACAACTAAGAGGAAATTTAAATGTAGTTAATATCTGCTTAACTTCGCAGTGTATGCTGGAAGCTTGTTTCCAGAAAACCATACTCTCTCTCACTTTCTCACTCTCTATATATATTTCACCCCTGTGATAAAAGAAATAGAAACAATTAATAAAATGACAATGAATAACTAATAATTACCTAATGCTATCAGGTAGTAACTTTGGACTGTACAAATACAGTTGACCCTCAAACAACTTTTGGATTTGAAGTGCAGGGATCCATTTATACGTGGATATGTTTCAATAGTAATAAACACTAAAGTACTACACAGTCTGTGGTTGGTTGAATCTGCAGATGTGGAGGAACTGTGGATAGGGAGGGGCTGACTATACATTATACGTGGATTAAATCCCATGTTGTTCAAGAGTCAATTGTATATGCTTACAATATAAAATGAAAAAAGGGAGGTAGGAAAAAAATGTGGAAAAGTTGGAATTTCACTATTTCAAAAGAAATTATATATTTACTAGGCTAAAAGGGGTACGGGCAGCCATGAGATGTCAATCACATGGAGTGTCTGAGGTATTGGCAATAAAGCCACAGCTCAGTTATCCCTCGGCTCTGGGAGTTGTTGGAATACCACAGAATGGCTGTGGTCTTTGTCTCCGCCTTACACTCAAACTGACTTTGGGGTGTTTTGACATCCCCTTTCCTGTAACTGCTACCAGTACATATCAAAGCCAATATTTTGAGGCTGAAATTCTATTTATCAGTATTGTTATATTTCTCTTTTGATCTTTTTACCCCCAAGGAGAAAACACCAAAGGATCTGAAGACCTGAGAACAGCCTCAAGAAAGGACAATACATTGGGAAGCTAATTTTTAAAATTTAATACAAATTATCCAAAAAGTTAGATCAGGATAGACAAGACACATGAGTAAATTACAATGAGTAAACACTGGGAAAGTGTTCTGTCTTCCTTGTTAGATACGCTGTACATTCACTGGTATATCTTGAACAATTATATTAGTCAACAACACCAAAATTATGGTAAATTTGGCTCATGTACTCATTGCCTTAAAAGCCACACTGATTTCCTCATGGAAAGTAATGTGTAAGAGTTATAAAGATGTTCATGTCTTCTGACAAAGTATTTTACTCATCCTTAAAATCTATCTTAAAGAAATAACTCAACAAAACATACCCCCAAATCTTACACACAAAGCTAGTCACTGCAATGATATGGATCAATAACCTAAATGCTTGAGGCATAGTTATAAAATGTGGTACACCAAATCAGAATATTGAAGATAATCATAAAGGAAATTTCCTCTTCCTTTACCCAGAAGAATATTTAAATATAGAAAATAATAGGTAGAAATGATTTTGGAAAGGGGCTAAATTCAAAATATTTTTAATATAATTGTGGTGACTAAAAATATATGTACACAGATAATGACAAGGTAAAAATAGTGTTAAAGAGGCAGAATAGAGACTTCACTGGTGGCGCAGTGGTTAAGAATCTGCCTGCCAATGCAGGGGACACGGGTTCGAGCCCTGGTCTGGGAAGATGCCACATGCCGCGGAGCAACAAAGCCCATGCACCATAACTACTGAGCCCACGCTCTAGAGCCTGGGAGCCACAACTACTGATCCCACGTGCCACAACTACTGAAACCCGCGCGCCTAGAGCCCGTGCTCCACAACAACAGAAGCCACCTCAATGAGAAGCCTGAGCACCGCAATGAAGAGTAGCCCCTGCTCGCCGCAACTAGAGAAAGCCCACATGCAGCAACAATGACCCAGTGCAGCCAAAAATAAATAAATAAAAATTTTTAAAAATGAGGCAGAATAGGACTATTCGAAGTTTTCTTTACATTTAGATAATATTTTTAACATTAAAAAAAACCCCAGATAAACCCAATACCCTCCTGAATGCTAGTGAGGATTTACCATTCAGGAACACCTCAAAAAGCCCAAACAAATATTATGGTATGACAAAGGACAAAAAGATTTAAGATTCAGGTTGCTGTTAACTAGATGTGTGACTCCAGCCATGTTACCGCTTTCCTAGATTTCTGAAGTTCTGGTTTGAATGAAAAAGTTTCCTTTCAACATGAAAACGCTGTGACTATGAACTTTTTGGTGTTGATCTGAAGAACTTCTGTCAACTTTATATTCACTTAAAACAATAGCTTTTAGCATTAAATTATGACAGAGATCTGGTTTATATATCTACATGTTTTACAAGGTGCCACGTTTAAGCAATAGGTTGACTCTCATTTGATTAAGATTTATTTTCTAGGGATTATGGAGAACTAACCACCAGAAAACCTGTCAAGACAAACTGTTGCCATTCTTTAACAAAATCTCATTTCAAAACAAGTTTACTTTTCTTGGCTAATAATCTATCCTTGTTTTTCATGCCTACAGATATATATTTAAAGGCCATTAATCTTCAATGTGTATTTTATTATTTTTCTTAGAGGAACGTGGAACTTTCCTGGGGGTAATTCAGCCCCAAAATTAAAATAAAAGTCAACAGGCAAAAGGTTATTTAAGCACAGAAATGCTTGTCAAGGATACAGAAGCACGCAGCAATTAAGAGCATCAAAGTCAGAGAGGAAACGTGCTTGAATTCCAATCCCAACCATACAAGGAGGCACTGAATATTTAGAAGGATCTGCTTAGAAACCTTGGGATATCCTACATGTAATCACCCTGAGATCTAAAGCAGGGCACTGGGGCAACTAGGTTCATCATTCATTCTCAAATTCAAAGAGCTTAAAATATTAACCCCAATCCTCTAATAGTGTTTCGTCTAGAAAAAGAAAAACACACCTCACAAACACATGTAATTTTATTTAGAGTTTCTTAAATGCATTCACATTGCTTTAAGAAAAAGTGAACACTCCTTATCTTGCAGTCCAAAAGGCTGCAAAGACAGAGTAGAGAAACATTAACAAACACTTCACAAATATTAAATCCACACACTAATTTAAGCCCGATTGTTATTACTGCAGTGGTTTACATCATTAATATTTTCAGGAAACTAAAGCATGACTCAGATATTTGCCATCCAATGGGAAGCTGTAAATAGGAGTTGTTACAGAGCTTCTCTTGAGTTTTATGTGATGTTCAGATACACTGAGGGTACATGCATCCCACAGCCAGAAAAGTACAGAAAAGCTGAAGTGAAGTGGTAGGTAGAGTGCTTCTGTAATCCCTCCTTTTTCTAAAGCAGAGCCCCAGGGATTACCTTTTGGGGAAATCTTAAGAGTTAAAGGTAGCAAGCAGGGTTACTGAAGTGATTTTTTTCCTTGACTGAAAGGGTCAGATGTATGGAATAACACAGCAGTGAGATTCTATTTGTTATTCTTATAAAGTAGGCATCTGTTTGATTCATTACTCCACCTTCTTGGCCACAACAATTAAGTGTGACGAAGAGCCTTTAAAGAAAAACTAGATTAAATTAAGGTTTATTTGTGTGGGGGGGGGAGATTTTTCTGGGGTCTGAGAACCCATGTTCACTGAATTTGTTTTACTAAAAAGTAGAGAAAGTAAAGGGGTAAAAATCAAAAGGCACACAACTTAAAAACACGTAATAAAATAAATCTCTAGGTGTGTATGCAAGATATGTGTGTATGTATCTTTACTTTAGTCATTCAAGTAACGCCATGCTGTAACTGTTTGAAAATACCATTTTCCTTAGATGCACCATATTTGTTTGTCTAGAAAATTTAACAGTTCTGTTTTGGTTAGTTGTTACCTTTCTGACAAACATTATCAAAATGGAAAGAAAAGGCTAACTGAATGTAAGGAATTCAACTTTCATTTCTGGGTCAAAATGCTCTCCATCTCAATGATACCCAGCATAGTCCTGCTTAAAATTACCAAAATACTGCTGGCCCATAAAGAGTATAACAGTCATTTCCATGAACTAGCACCACGGCCAAGAAACTGTGCTAAAGTGGAAGTGGAACTTTCTGAAAATTCCACTTCCACCAAGTTACTTACCTAGGCTTCAATTTCTGCATATGTAAAATGGGACTATGTGCCTCACTTTCCTATGTCTCTATATTGAGGTCAAAATATCATCTGTAGGGCTTCCCTGGTGGCGCAGTGGTTGAGAGTCCGCCTGCCGATGCAGGGGACACAGGTTCGTGCCCCAGTCCGGGAAGATTCCACATGCTGCGGAGCAGCTGGGCCCGTGAGCTATGGCCGCTAAGCCTGAGCGTCCGGAGCCTGTGCTCCGCAACGGGAGAGACCACAACAGTGAGAGGCCCGCGTACCGCAAACCTGCATCGGTATATATATATATATATATATATATATATATAAAATCTATAATTATATTAAAACAACTTTGGGAGATTAGGTTTGACATAAATACACTACCATGGGTAAAACAGACAGCTAGTGGGAACCTGCTGTATAGCACAGGGAGCTCAGCTCGGTGCTCTGTGATGACCTATATGGGTGGGATGGCAGGGGGAGGGAGGTCCAAGAGAGAGGGGATATATATATACATATAGCTGATTCACTTCACTGTACAGCAGAAACTAACACAACACTGTAAAGCAATTATACTCCAATTAAAAAAAAGAAAGTTAAAAACAAAACTTTGAATTATTCGTTTCTAAAAATGCAACCAGCATAATGTTGTTACAAGTCCAGAGACTACTAAACCTAAGATCTGTATTTACCAACACTGTTGAAAATCTTTCTCTAGAATCTAGAGAAATACAGTAATTGCAAAAACAGCCTTATAAGTTCTTACTGTTCAACTTATTTATCCACAGCCCAATTTATTTTAAAAGTCCTAACTGGTCAGTCAGTGTTTTTTAATACTGTGGATCAAACATTCCCCAGACAGTACCTAACCCTCTACTCTCTATCTCAAACCCCTCATGGGGGCCAATGCACCATTCATTGTCCCTGATGACTGCAAAACTTCAAGGAAAAGAACACTGTTCCCATGTAACCAATGGTAGGAAGATTATACCTTGAATGTTTAAAAAGAAAAAGCAATAGCTTACATTTTTGTATGCTTTACTTCTGGGAAAGCATTAGTCCTTCACTTAATAGTTCACTTGTTAACTCCATCAATTCCACAAAGCAAGGAAAGGTAAAAGAATGAGGCTTGGGACTTCCCTGGTGGTGCAGTGGTTAAGAATCCGCCTGCCAATGCAGGGGACACGGGTTCGATCCCTGATCCAGGAAGATCCACACGCCACAGAGCAATTACGCCTGTGCGCCACAACTACTGAAGCCCGCGTGCCCTAGAGCCTGCACACCACAACTACTGAAGCCCATGCACCTAGAGCCCGTGCTCCCCAACAAGAGAAGCCACTGCAATGAGAAGTCCATATGCAGCAACGAAGACCCAATGCAGACCAAAAAAATTTTAAAAAGTGAGGCTTATTTTGCAAATAAAAGCAAACACAAATAATGATGTCATTTCTCAAAAGCCACAGAAGCAATGTTTTTGCTAAAACAAACAAAAAACCTCCTCAATTTCAAATCTATGGAAAGGAAGGATAATGCAAAAACTAATAAAACTGGCTACCTACAGGAGGTGGGAACACAATGGAAAGAAGGTGGAAATAGGAACAGGGCTACAGCCTTTTGTACAGCTTTAATTCTTAGCACAGTAGTAATGTTTTGCATACTCAAAAAATAATAAATATCAACTACTGTGTGTGTGGGCAACAAGAAGTGGAATACTATAGTAACAAAAGAACGTAACTGTATTACAAAATAATTGCATAGTCACACTGAAAGGTGAACTAACCTAAGAACAACTTCGGGGAAATAGCATTTTGACGGTTTATTATAGTGCTAACATACTGTATACAATATTGTACTCTGGTTAGTAAAGATATTTCTCACAGGAGTATGAGCTGGCAATTATGAAACTACTCTATTTGGTACTAGGATTGAACAAATAAGTATCAATAAGGAAGGACAAAGGCTGTGGTGTTAGACTGGTACTAGTATAAACTCATGGTTTTTAGTGTATATACAGATGGGTAGATAACAAAATATATGTATGTGTATGCATGTAGCAGCATACATATATATATTTACTAGCTTTGTTGAGAAGTCCTAGATAGAAGCAATGACACCAAGTAGCAATGAGCACAACTAGTACCCAGATCTTGGTTTCAAAACCCTGTTCTCCAATAAAAAGAAGCAGGGCTGGAACAAGTAAAACACAAGATGAACCTGGAACATTGTGGGGTGCCAGAAAGTGAGTGTTCAAAAAACAAGGCGGGGGGCATGTTGAAAGGACACAGACGCCAATCTGAAAGGTCCCGATGCCAAAAGTTCAGACAACTGCAACTGAATACTAATAGTAGTAGATTATAATCCATAACGTAAAATTAATATCCATAAAACCATCCTGAAATAAGTAACTAACTGATGGACGAAATAAATGAGGGAGAAAAGACAGCTCTTCCTAACAGAATTCCAATGAACAAATGTAGAAAACAGAAAATCACCATTTAGTAAACACCACAGCAATAATTACTGCAGTAATTTTGCAGGTAAAATCCACCAGTAGATGATAAAACTGTGGATTAAAGTATAATGAGCTGGACATATATACACTACCAAACGTAAGGTAGATAGCTAGTGGGAAGCAGCCGCATAGCACAGGGAGATCAGTTTGGTGCTTTGTGACCGCCTGGAGGGGTGGGAATAGGGAGGGTGGGAGGCAGGGAGACGCAAGAAGGAACAGATATGGGAACATATGTATATGTATAACTGATTCACTGTTATAAAGCAGAAACTAACACACCATTGTAAAGCAATTATACTCCAATAAAGATGTAAAAAAAAAAAAAAATAAAAGAAATAAAAGTATAATGAGCAACAGAAAAATGCATAGTATCCCCCCATGAGATAGTCATTCATTACAAAGGGAAAAATACTAACTTTACAGTGGAGAAACCTGGCAGGCATCACATTAACCAAGTGAAAAAGCTATCACCATCATCTTGTACCCCTAATATGGTATACTGAGAAGGGCACAGTATCACTTCTGTGGAATTACTGCAAAAAATGCATAACCTTTAACGAAAAAACATCTGGCAACTCCCTTCTGAGGAACATTACACATAATAACTTACCAATACTCTTGTGTCAAGGTCATGAAAGACAAAAACTGAGGTGCTCTCACACACTGGAAGAGACTTTAAAGAGATATGACAGGGCTTCCCTGGTGGCGCAGTGGTTGAGAGGCTGCCTGCCGATGCAGGGGACATGGGTTCATGCCCCGGTCCAGGAAGATCCCACATGCCGCAAAGCGGCTGGGCCCGTGAGCCATGGCCGCTGAGCCTGCGCGTCCGGAGCCTGTGCTCCGCAACGGGAGAGGCCACAACAGTGAGAGGCCCGCTTACCGCAAAAAAAAAAAAAAAAGAGAGATATGACAACTATATGCAATGTGGAAATCTGGACCAAAAAAAGGCGGCATAAATGAGAAAATAAGTGAAACTGGAATAAAATCTGTAGTCTGTATCAACGTTAGTTCCTAGTTTTGACACTGAACAATGGTTATGCAAGCTGTTAACGCTAGGGGAAGCGGGGGAAGGCTATGTGGGGACTCTTGTGTACTGCTTTTGCAACTATTGTGTTAAGTCTAAAATCAAATTTCATTCATACACAAATCTAGGAGTTTTCCTTAGATCAAATTACTTAAAACAAGAAATGTTAATACTCATAAAAGCCCGTGACCTTTTGAGAAAAGTAAAAATATGAAAGAAATAAATTAAAAGTGGTCTTGGAATTCAGAAAGAAAAGAAATTAATTTTGGTGTTCAGAGAAATAGGAAAAAGGAAGGAATTATGAAGAGAGATTTGAGCTAGGCTCTAAGGAAACAGAAGATTACAAAAAATGACAGCTTTATCCTCATTACAGAATTAAAGGGGGTAACTCAAACAGCATTTTCAACATCTTTGTGAGTTAAACCTCTAGTCCGACCTTTCCATTTTATAGTGGCCCAGAAAGGTTACCTTACTTATCAAAGTTATCAGAGCCACATGGTCTCCTAATTCCCAGGAATATTCCATAATGTCACACTTGCTCTGGCTGTGCTGTCTTGAGAGTTAGAAGCTGCTTTTAAATTTTAAAGTCAGCTACACAACTGCTCGAGGGGCCCTGTGGTGCCCTATTCGGGAATTCAGAGCCTAAAATGCCAGAGGTGATAAAAGGGGATACAACCCCTTCGTTCAGCCAATGCAAGGATCCTTATTACAGAGAATAAACTATGCTGAAGCTACACCCCAAATTCTCACTCATTTTCCCTTTTCTGTCTTTTATACTTACCAATTTATCATTCCCATGATCTGTCTTCACCTCAGAACTAAGTGGAAGAAATAAGTCTGTTGTGTGCTCTGGGGGAGGCGCCTCTCCAAGAACTATCAACCCCTGCAGGACAGAGAGAAAAACAGCTTAAGTGGTGTAAGTTACAAATTTAATTTAGTAGTTAATATCAAGAGTTAGGGGCAGGGTGGGTCTGGTTTACCAGAGGCCTTTTCCTTTATCCTATGGTTCTGAAACAAAATATACCACCAGCAGCTTTGCTCTTCCAAGAGTGATTTCAACAAAAGGCCCTAGCAGTAGCCATGAATACAGCCTAAGACTCAAACCCAAGCTTCCCCTTTCTTCCACTTGAATGTATGGACCTACATGGCTTGTAGCATCTTTTATTCACATCTTCCAGATCTGGGATCTTTATCAGAGTATGGTATTTTACACTATATCACCAACCAGACTATACCATATTAACAATAGCAATGCAGTTTTTCTACTTAACTTGATCAAAAATGTGGCTTAAGGATGACCAAACTAGAAGTGCTACAATTATAAATGATGAGCTAAACCAACTATCTCTGAGCAACCACAACCACCGGGTGGAACAGTCTCTACAGTCAGTATCTTAGAAACCAAAAACTTAAAACTGTTCCAAAGACACCTGTTTCTCACAAGCATAAGCATTACTCCAGATTAGGTTCCTGCTTGACAATTTCAAGCTCAGATTTTACATTCACCCCAGAAAATAAAAAATGTAAAAAGAAATTTTAAATGACTCCACAAATCCTCTCCGTAGCCAGCATGGGCCCAGCTTGGTGAAGACAGAAGTTAGCTTACTATGAAAAATAAACAAAAACCACAGACATGAATCTCCCATCAACGCAAGTAGAAGTGACCAAAATCCAGTTATGACACTGTGTAACAAAAAGACTGGGATGCAGGTGCTCTTTGGTTCTCTTTCTCTGGTCTAGAAAATAAGGAGATCTGACTGATAAGAAGCTCTTAATGGAAATTTTGTATTAGAATCACTTGGGGGAAACCTTATCAAACTATACTTGCCCAGGTCCAACATCAAATCTACTCAGAATCTCTGGTAGGTAGGGAGGTAGGGAGCTGGGTATTCTGTTTTTAAAAAGCTTCCCTGGTAAGTCTTAATGCAAGCTCTAAACTGAAAAATACTAGACTCAATCATCTTGACTCAGCATCAGAATCCCCCAGAGAACATCCTAAAATGTTCTATCAACAGATTTCAGGGCCTAAAAACTTTGACTTATCAATTTGAGCTCCCTAGGCCATTATGACATAGGCTCTTGTGAGCCAATGAACCAGATGATCCTGTCCCTGGGGTTATTTCTAATACAAAAATCTCCGTGAAATAGGAGATATAAGAGATTGGGGGTCCAGTGGTGGTTAAGAGGGACCGATGGAATTTTACCTCAGTTTAAAAGGGAAGAAAAACAGGACACACACACACACACCCCCAACCGTAAGAGAAACAACAAGTTTCCTATTCTGGAATAAGACTATACCTAGGCTATGTAGAAAATGAAGCAGAGACTCTGCAGAAAGAGGGAGAGGTTATTAAGAAAGCAAGAAACATTTGCCCTAGCTTTCAAAATGGGGTTTCTCTGGATAAAAGAACTTCTTTTTCACTGTTGTGGCCTCTCCTATTGTGGAGCACAGGCTCCGGACGCGCAGGCTCAGCGGCCATGGCTCACGGGCCCAGCCGCTCCGCAGCACGAACCCATGTCCCCTGTATCAGCAGGCGGACTCTCAACCACTGAGCCACCAGGGAAGCCCTGGCTAAAAGAACTTCTGCAAAATATTTTCTTGTTTCAATCAGAAGCATAAAACAGACCTCACAAACTTTTCCATTTCAAAGTAAAAACTGTTTGTAAAAAGCAGCTATTTTGTACAACATTCCCTTCTCAGAATATTGCATTCAACATCTTCTCTGCTTAAGAGCCTAAACCACCTCCCCATCTCCTATATAAAGCTAGCCCAAACTCATTTTGGCATAGTCCATAATCCATCTCTACCTTATCTATTTCCAACTACTTTCTGCAAATATTGTTACACTAACCGCATTATCCCCTAGAAAATGTCTGAATATATATGAAGTTGTTGTTGAGAGCTGGGGGTTATTACGAAGTAGTAGGTAAAGAAATGCAACTAAAGGTTACAATACTACCCACTACCTGTTCTTATGTCTTTGTTTATACTGATTCTGCCCTTCTCTTACATTTATCTATCCAAAAGGTTATGCTTCAAAAAGCTTGTCAAGGCCAAGTCCCACCTCCTTCCAAGAAAATGTCCCTGGTTTAACTGAGCCCCTTATTTTCTTTATCCACATTGCCAGACTTCCTAAAGCATGGTGATTTTATCTTACATTCTGTATATTTAAATCTCATTTCCAGAGCAGAACCTTAGGCCAAATTATTTATTTCATTTATTGTTGCCTCAATTTGTCGTTTAAATGTTAACTAATGGTAAGATCCTTGAGGACTTAGACAAAATACAAATATATTCGAATCTCCCATATTCCCTAGCAGAGTTATACACCAAGAAAGGAAATGCATAATAATTATTTTTTGACTTTTATGTTTAAAACTTTTTGCCCTTGAACGAGAAAATATTAAGTTTATATTAATTATAGCTAGGAGCCTAAATAAATCCAACTATTAGGTATAAAGTTACTCCCTCAATTTTTCTTAGGTGAGAAGGTAAGTCAGGATAAAACAGCCAATATTTTCCAAAGGGAAATTTTTCTCCTTAAACTACCAAATAATTTCTAAAAAACACCTTAGAGACTACAAAGACACCCTCCTGTGAAAGCTTTAAAAGACCTAGTAGGGACCATTTATTCCCCATCATTTTATAGACCCAGGGAGGATGCAGGTCGAAGGTCATGTCAATAGGCCAATCCGTGGCAGAACGAGGGATAAAAGCTGGGTTAGTTAGACCCAGCTAATCTTTGTTTTGGCTTTCATTCATTCAAATCAAGCCACTGCGTCTCCATTCATCAAACATTTTTTAGGTGCTGGGGATACAGGAAAGAAAAAAGACATATCCTGCTCCCTACTCCTATCCAAACTCATCCCTCAAAGTGCTTACAATTCTAATACTGGGACAAAGACAGAATATCAACAATATAAGTAAAATTTATGTTGCACATTAGAAAGTGTTAAATGCTAAAAAAACTAAAGGACAGTGAGCGGATAATAAAGTGGGAGTAGGCACTCTTTCATATTAGGCGGTCAGGGTAAAATGCACCGAGAAGGTGGTGTCTGAGCAAATACTGGAAAGAAACTTGGGAACAAACTTTGGGAATATCTGCAGGAAGAGCTAATGCAGCAGTTTCAAGGTTGGAGCCAGCTGGATAACTTTAAGAACTGTAAGGAATTTGGTATGGCTGAAGGAAAATCAATGAGTGGAGTCTGAGGCAGAAGCTCAAGGCAGAGGAGGTAAGTGGGGGTGCAGGGCCTTGTAACTCCCTGTCTTTCAGCTTTTATGTCCAGATGGTAAATCACTGGAGAGTTTCAAGCAGAAGGGAGCAATGATCTGACTTATGGTTTAAAAGGATCAATTTGCTATTGTGTTGACATGTGGATGAGTGGACAGTAAATAGAGGAGCAGAAAGAACCGCTGTTGGACCGAAGTGGTTGGATTCTGTGTACATATATATATATATATATTTGAAGACAGAATCAATCAGTTATGCAAATATGCTTCCTGGGATGTGAGGGAAGAGAGCAGTCAGAGAGTTAGTAAAGGTTTCTGGCCTCTGCAACATTAGAGCTCCTATTAATCTGTTGAAAGGTCTTTTCAATGTGCATTAGTTTTAATCAAATCTATTTTTGCAAATATTTACTCAAGTGCTATGCTGATTCATATGCTACCATTCACCCATGCATTCTTGCCCTGACCCCCAAAACTCTGTTCGTTCATTATAGCATACAAAACCAACCATTAAATCCTTTATACTGTACCTCATACCAAAAAGGATGAAAGCAACTAAAAGGAAGATGAGCAAATAAAAAGCATACAAACAGCTAAAATCTGTTCATTCAGGTGACCTTTATTGAGTGTCTACCACATGCTGGGTGGTGTGAAACCCTAAGAATAAGAAAATAAATAAAATACATTCCACTCATAAGAAGCTTACTACCTTCGTCTACCTCAGACAGACAGGCAGGAGAAGTATGACAATGACAGTGCTATAACAGAAGTTTAGAGAAGATGACGTGAGAGCAGAAAAGAGGCAGAGCTTAAGGAAGAGACTGATGGAAGTAAGGCTTTATGGAGAGGTCTACATGATTACTTAAATTTTCCTAAAATATACTTAATAAATATAGTTAATAATCACGAAAGGAAAGGTCATTATTAGCAAAGAAAACTCCATGAAGTTCCACTCCACACTTGTCATGGCAACCCCAAGCTGGGATTCCCTAGCATTCGGGGTTTATACTGGGTCAGCATTACGTGGCTGTGACATTAGCCACAAGCAGCAATAATCTCAAGGCTACTGCACTCTAAGCCCAAGGTAAAAAGGCCAGGAGAGTCTGCCCACCCTTCACTATCACTTCCTAAAGTCAGAACCAGGACCATGCCTGGACTGTCCAGGCCTAGAGAACTAAACACTACAGAACACAGGACTACAGAAATTGGGAAGGGTCACAGTTGCATGAAGTCGTAACATATCCTTACAAATTATTCCTCTCTGGAAATACAAATCTGTCCTACATTTAAAAAAGGAAAAAAAATGAAGTAAAACTGAAAAAGGAAGAAATGGTAGAAGAAACTGTGCTAAGCCTGATTATAAAACAGGGCCAAAGCAAGCAAGCAAAAAGGAAAGAAAAGAAAAAACTAAGTTGTATGCTTGGGTCAACTGCTTTCCCTTTACCAATTTCAGGTAACACATGGAGTCAAAGTACAAGGAAAAAAAAAAAAACCACCTCTTCATCTGTAAAACAAAATTAAGATGCAATTTCACATACTCACTTTCCTACTTCATTCTAAATAGGTCAAGCTTTCCTACCCATCTTAAGATAAATCAGTGATCTCACTGTAAACCAGCACCACAAGATGGTCCTGGGCTACCTAGACTAGACATGGCTGTCCATAATGCCTTATAACTCTAGGAAGATGGAAACTTCAACTACTTTACATCAATTCTGAAGACAGGTATTCTAGGTTACTGCTGTTCCCATTCAGCAGCTTTTCTATCCAGAAGTTTCATTGTTCTTCCATCTCTCATTCCCCGTAACATTTCCATCCTTAGTTAGCAGGTGCTGTGCAATCTGACAGATCAGTCAAAAGAAGGGATAAAAAAATAATATAATGTTTTGTACTAGACATGGATGTTGAAGATTGCGTGTTAAGAGAAAGACTGCGTGTTAAGAGAAAGAAGTCTCCTTTAGCAACAGAACCCTCTTGGTCCCTGTGCACTCCCCCCTCAGTTTTATTTACCAGGTGTGAAATTTCAATAAATATGCTCAAGAGAAATGATGAAAAGGATACAACAGCAGAATATGTTAGACAGAAAATGCTTTGGGGTCAGATAAATAGCCCTGCGTTCAAATTTAGCTCTGCTTCTTACAAGCCTGTAAGCTGTTGCTTTGTGCATTAAATAACACACATGAATGTACCTGTATATAGTCCACACTCAAGGTTCAGACACTGTTTTCCTTTCTCATTTTAAGACATGGGAGCATCTTTTTTAAAAAAGCTGACTGAATATGAAAGTTAAAACACAATAGTGTTCCAGATGGTATGTCTTAGTTTAACTGAAATCACTTCTTAGTGGCACATAACAATGGTGCAGCTTACAATCAACAGCATCTTTGAGTCTATGAAATACAGTAGTTTTATAATGAGGAACTAATATAACATAAACACATATATAAACACACAGTACATATAATTATATATATATATATATATAAAATAGATAAAGCAACAAATATGACTGACTACCATTCTAATAATCTCAGTTGTTACTAAGAGACTCTAGTTCTCAAATATGAAAATTCTCTCTTAACTATTGGCTATAAAATACCAGACACTGGAGAGGTGTCCATGACAGAGGAAGACTGTTTTTCTCCTCAGGATAGGCATATCCAGTCATCTCCCAGATATTCTTTATCAACATTCCAGCTCATATTCTACAAATATCACTTAATTTTCTTTGTGAAAAAGAGCTAAGCATAATGTTTACCATCCTTGGTGAATATTTTTAGATTTAATTCCTCATTTGTGCTAGCTAATTTTTAAAGTTAGGATTTAATGTGTTCCCTATCCTAAAGGAACAAATTATTATTATTATTTTTTTAAGGTAAGTCCTCTGGACTTTGCCCTCAATTATAATATGTTCTACTGAACTTCTGGAGAATTACATATAAGCCCATTTGGGGAAGAAGCTCAAAGAATGCTCCAGTGAAATGTTTGGAATAAAAGCTTACATAATATACAAGGGAGGCTGCAGGACTTTTACTTCAAACTCTTACCCTTTTGTTCATCTTGTCAATTAGTCATCCTTTAACTCTTGGTCTACTAATTAATTTAATGTATGCAGTTCACGGTACATAGCAATTTTCTTAAGGCTTTGACCAGCACTAAGGCAGGACAAAAACGTTGTGACACTTATTTTTAGGGGCAGTAGATGCTTCATCTAGACCCACATGTTCAGTCAGGGAAGTCACTGCATCAAGCTAACACAATAAGTACCTTGCAAGAACATAAGCACCAAGAAAGGAGGATTTTTATTTACTGTGACCCCACTAAGGAGAACAGTGCTGGTACACAGCCGTCACTCAACTGTTTACTGAATGGATTTCTTTTCCATATACATTTTTCCCCCAGTCAAACTCCAAATAAGCAGAGGACATTTTTCAGAAGAAGAACTATACAAGTATCACTGTTAAAGATAAAAGCTGTATCGTTAAGAGTCAGTCCACTGCAAGGAGAACAAAGGAAAATGAAATCACCAGTGTCTAATCTTGCCTGAATGATCTTTCAGGAAAAACTTTATTTTTCCTCAAGAAAGCAAGGGAGGCTTAGCAGTAAAACAGAAACGCATCTAAGTAAAAAAATAAGATGAAAACACAGTCATCACCACTTTTCCATAAATATAACAAATATGCAGGTATGGTCAATGGCTTACATTAAATAGTGCCTTTTTTAAAATGTTCCCTGTTAGCCCAGATATTCAAACTGTTTTGTTCTAAACCCATGAGCTAATCTAACATTATATTCTAACAGTGTTGTCTGCATTATGCTAAGTAACACCAGGCTCTTAAACAAATTAAACCGCTATATCAGATCATATTAAACCATTCTCTCTGACATAGTTAAGAGTTACTGAGGGATGGGGAAAAGGGGATAATGATAGTTTTTAGCTGAGCTGAAAAAGACCAGACACTTATCCCTTACCTTATTAGCACGTATCTGTTTGTAAATATCTGTTTGCTGCCGAATTCGATATTCCAAGTCAGAAACATGAGCCTGAAGCCAGTTCCAGCGGCTGACAATAGCTGCTCGGTCTGCAGCCCATCTCCATTCTGACCTGCGCCTCCTAAAAGGAAATAAACTGAGTGAAAACCAAGAGTAGCAGCAACATTTATACTAAATGGGAGTGGGATGGTTTTAACGTCTAAATGCCCTTATACAGAACACTCTAGTGTCAAGAAAAACTTAAGACTATATGTATGTTTATGTATGTATGTCACAGGACATACATGGATAAAACTCTTCACATAGATACTTCCCAAACTAACTAGCTGAAACTGCCTTCTAAGTATCCTGATCCTGTCTGTGGCAGTTTTTCTGAATTGCCTTAATTTCTCAGGAGATAGAAATATTTTCTACTTTAAGACATATAAAGGATAAAGACTACGTTATCTACATAGAAAATCCAAGACACCACAAATTATAAAGCTAACCAAGAATTCAGCAAAGTTGCCGAGTAAAGATCAACATACCAAAATTAACAGTGTTTCCAAGTGCCAACAAGTAGAAAAGACTCATTTTTTTAAACTATTTACAACACTAACAAATGCTAACATTATACACAAAAGATCTTTGCAGAGAAAATAATAAAACCAAAAGACCTACATAAATGGTGAGACAGATTTTAAGATGGCAATTTTCACATCTACCTACAAATTCAAATAAGCTCCAATCAAATCTCCCATAGGGTTTTTTGTTTGTTTGACTGAGCTGCACGGCTTATGGGATCTTAGTTCCCCAACCAGGGACTGAACCCGGGCCCTCTGCCGTGAGAGCGTGAAGTCCTAACCACTGGGCTGCCAGGGAATTCCCCCCACCACAGGGTTGTTACTGGAAACTTACAAACATCCAAAAATCCACAACAGTGGAGGGGAGGAACACCACTAGAGAAATTCTAAAGAAAGTATGCTGAAAACTCACACTACAGAATTAGGGTAAAGCTATGGTGATTAAGGCAGTCTAGAAAGACAAAAAGACCAGTGGGACAGAATACAGAACTCCCAAACTTAGAACTGGATATATAAAAGAGATGGGCATTCAGAGCAGTGAGGAAAGACTGAATTATTCAATAAATGGCATTGAGATGCCAGTTCTTTACATGAAAAAAGTAAAATTACTTCCTTTCTTTATGATATAATTCACTATTTTTGGAATTCCTAAATCTGAAAAGTCAAACTTAAATAAGATTATCCTTGGAACTTCAGGGCAGGGAAGGATTTCTTAAATAAGACACACAAAAAATTTAGCTAATTTTCAACATACTGCAAAAGATTTAATAAAGTTAAAGGCAAGCTACTAGTTGGTAAAGATATCTGTAACACATAAAACTAAAAACACATCAGAATATATAACAGAACTCCACCAAAGAGGTTTAAGAAGAATATAATCTAACAAAAGATGAATAAATTAAAAATTCACATAAGAGAGATCCAAATGGCCACTAAATACATAAAAATATGCCAGGTCTTGTTAGATTTTTGGTTAAAATATTAGTAGGTCAAATACTAAGAAGTCATTTCAAACCCAGATTGGAAAAACCAAGTGTTAGTGAGATGTGGGAAACAGTAATTCATACATTTCCAACAATAATAAAAACTGGCACCACCACTTTTCAAGAGTAATCTGGAAATACTTGGCTAGGTGGAAAATGTGTATACCTAGCCATCATGAAATTCTATTTCTGAGAATATAACCTGCACATCTGCATGAAGAAACAGGTTCACTGCAATAGTTGGTAATAACTAAAAATTAGTTACAATTTAATTTGCTAAAGTAGGGAAATAGATACACTATAATTTACTGGATTTTTCTATAGCAATAGAAACATATTAACCAAACTATCTGTATCAACATGACAATATCTCAGAAGACAATGTTGAATGGAAAAACATAAAAACTAATAATAAGCTAAACAAAGTAAGTACTACTATAGATATAAACAAGTAGTAAAGGAATTTAATGGAGTATTGTTTATCAATTTAATTATTACTGTATGTCTCAACACGACTAAATCTCAACAATGTGGAATGGAAAAACTACATAAAAACTTTTTAAAAAACCCAAAAAACAATAATAAGAATTATTGGGACTTCCCTGGTGGCACAGTGGTTAAGAATCCACCTGCCAATGCAGGGGACATGGGTTCGAGCCCTGGTCCAGGAAGATCCCACATGCAGCGGAGGAACTAAGCCCGTGCGCCACAACTACTGAGCCTGTGCTCTAGAGCCCTCGAGCCACAACTACTGAGCCTGTGAGCCACAACTACTGAAGCCCGCGCTCCACAACAAGAGAAGCCACCAAAATGAGAAGCCTGGACACCACAACGAAGAGTAGTCTCCACTCGCCACAGCTAGAGGAAGCCCGTGCGCAGCAACAAAGACCCAACGCAGCCAAAAATAAATAAACAAAAAATAAATAAATTTATATATATATATAAAAAAACAACTGCTACCAATACATAAATAGTAAATGCATAAAACTGATAAACAACAAATTCAGGACCAGAGTGCTCCTTACCTCTGGGAAGGGAAATAAAGAAGTTAGATTTTAGGGGCTTCCCTGGTGGAGCAGTGGTTAAGAATCCGCCTGCCAATGCAGGGGACACAGATTCAAGCCCTGGTCCGGGAAGATCCCACATGCTGCTGAGCAACTAAGCCCATGCGCCACAACTACCGAGCCTGTGCTCTAGAGCCCACGAGCCACAACTACTGAGCCCACGCACCGCATCTACTGAAGCCCACGTGCTCTAGAGCCCATAGTCCGCAAAAAAAGAGAAGCCACGCAGTGAGAAGCCCACACACCGCAACTGAGAGCAGCCCCCGCTCGCCGCAACTAGAGAAAGCCTGCGCACAGCAACGAAGACCCAACACAGTCAAAATAATAAATTAATTAATTAAAGAAAAGTTAGATTTTAGCTCTAACTGTAATGTAATGTTCAACTGCTCTTTAAAAACTAAAAGTCTGATAGAAAATGGCAACTTTAATATTAGAGGGGGTAACTGGCATCTGGTATATTCTGCAGCCAAAATATTTTATGATCTTCCACAAAATTCTATTCCAAGAGAGAAGAAGTTGTCATACTGCCCTTAGCCCCATCTCCAATCAGGTTCTACATACTCAGTAACAAACATTTTAAGTGACTGTAAGTGAAGTTTAACATAGTCCACTGATAGGGTGAAATACATTATAATAAAAGAGAACAGGGCTTCCCTGGTGACGCAGTGGTTGAGAGTCCGCCTGCCGATGCAGGGGACACGGGTCCGTGCCCCGGTCCAGGAAGATCCCACATGCCGCGGAGCGGATAGGCCCGTGAGCCATGGCCGCTGAGCCTGCGCTCCGCAACAGGAGAGGCCACAGCAGTGAGAGGCCCGCGTACCGCAAAAAAAAAAAAAAAAAAAAAAAAAGAGAACAAATCTAACCATAGTAGAATTAGAAATGAGTTAATACTTAATCATACCATAATAACTAAGATCAAGGATAGCAACAGTATTTTACTAACTTCAATACATTCCAAATATAAGCCATTGAAGCCAACCATTGTGATAAAGTATTATCCAATTATTTCTCTTTAGAAACAAGGCATATAGTTCCCTAACCTTGATGGAAAAAGCACAAGATATAAAGATACTTTCTTTTTTAAGTACAATTATCTGATTCAATATTGGCTACAGGTCTAGTACCAGCCCAAATTCAGGAAAGAACCTCTAGAGGTCAAGAATAACCTCTGGATCATTCTTGAACTATAAAAATGTCCCCCCTTTTCTAAAAGAGGTAAAGCTAGTTAACCCTCATATCCCATTTCCAACTTTCATCACTCTTCAAGGTTCGCAACCTTCCCATCTTGTAAAATCTCTTGGTTTTTACAGGTTCATTTCATTTCTCAAGCTACCACAGTACCAAGTCCCCATCTACCACCAATGGGCTACTCCAATAACTCCTTAACTACCCACTCCTAACATAAATCACATATTACTTCTCCTCAATAAAATCTCCTCAAACCTTATTTCTTCCTGTCACTCTTATGTGTAAGGAATCACACAGCTTCTCTGCTTCTTTACAAATCCTAAGTCTTCAAGGAAACAAAGTAGAAGGGGAGTCAAATATCATAAAAGGCAGCAATTCAAAGCCAAAAGTGATTAATAAAATTAACACAACATCCATTTAATGACAGTTTATTCCCAGACAAATCTGTTTTAACAACTGACAGTGGCTAGCCAAAATAATACTCTAATGTTGAAAACCAAAGCAAGGGAAAGATGATTTCTTGGCCAATTTACAGCACTTCCTCCTTAGTCACCCTTGGTGGACAAAGAATCCTGGCAGTCTCTCCCAATGATCCTGAACTTAGCTCATAAGCATTCTCATGAAAGTGTTCCAGGACATCAAGCACTGTGAATTGGCAGGAAAGATGAAACTTATTTGTTATTTCTGAATTTCGACACATCTTAACCGAAAGAATTTTTTCTTTTTCTTTCTTGTCTGAGGTCAAGGAAAAAATAAGAAAGAAACCACAACACTTTAACTGTGTGAAAACTTGAAAATATAAAAGGAAAAGAAAATTCCTTAAAACATTTCAGTTCACAAGAACTTTGGTGGATAAACACATTTTTTCTTTTGACATTAATGAACAGCCCTTTTCAATTTTCTTAAGGTCAAAACTAACAGGCTGATATACAAGTATTATTCTAAATACCAATACAAAGCCGAACGTCATGGTAATATTTTTTTGGAGATTGGCTAATAAACTAATTAAAGACAAATAAACTAATTAAAGATAGGCAGCATTAAGGGAGGACTGCAACCGCCAATTATGAACAGGTTTCATTCTACAAATACATTTTTCATATGACAGTTTCTAACCAGATGTAATTTTCAGCAGGAAGTTGTCACAATGAGGTAGTTAATGAAAAATGGAAAACCCCACCCCAAGTGTCCCAAAAGTATCTTGTGTTCAAAATACCAGCAACGTGGACAGAAAGCTGAACTGTTAACGAAGGTGGGAGGTGTACAGTTAGCAAGCCTGAGGTGAGCTCTGAAGATGTTACCACACCCCAGTGGCAGAGCAGA